CTCCTTTCACTGGAATCAATTCAAGGATGCCACACCGGATTGGATGCCCGCCTCCGATGCATTCATAGCCAGGGTTCTCGTACCGGCCTGCGTCAGCATCGAATGCGTAGATCGGTTGATCTCCTCGTTGAGGTAGACGACGATCCCGATGATCAGACATTTCCTCTATCAAGTCAACGACTCTTTGGCTATTTTCGGGGCCCATGTCCTTCAGCTCGACTCCGCATGCCCAATACAAGCCACGCCTGTTGTGAACATCTGCGCAGCAATTGTGCGGATTGTCACACCTGATCAAGAGGAAGTCGCTTCGAACGGCTTCCCCTCCACGACGTGGTCGGGCTTTAGCCTTCAGCTTTCGCTCTGAAGATGCTGCACTCGCATTCTCCGTTGCATCAACGTCCATGCTGTCATTCTGGGTAGTAGAGCTGAGGCAGATTGAGCGCGTGCTGGATGACGATCTAGTCTGGGATAGGGAACGAGGTCGGTCTTGATGGCTTCGAGGCCTGGTGCGACAGTCTCTCGCGCGGCGACATCATTGTCACATTGCGCAAAGGTATGGGAGCTACTGCCGCAGGCTATGCAAAACATGAGCCTTTGGCGTTCGAACTCCATCACGTCAGTTTGAAGTATATTCAGACTGTCAAGCAAGTGTGCGACCGCCCTTTCGCGTCCTTCCTGTAGAGGGTCATGAGCAACATCTCCTTGCTCTTCTTCAGGTTGGCCGTCAACTTCCATCTCCTGACTTGGCATCGGAGGTGCAACAGATACTCCCTCCTTGCTGTCTGGGTCTACCGTTTCTCGCGCATTCTCGGCAGTATCTTGGCAGACTAAAAAGACACACTCAGGGATTATACTGATGCGATTTCTCGGCACTGATGTGTAACATTTATGAAACACACTGCCACACCCTGGGTGGTCTGTCTTCTCGCCGACTAGTGCATGCCTGTCCACAAGTTCAACAGGCTTTGGGGAGGTGTGTTGTGGGTGACATTTCTCTAGGAATGCAGCTGGCTCACGACGTGGAGATGCAGGTGACATGCTACGTCAGCGTCAGTGGTTCTTATATTTCGACGAACGTTGGAAGAAGACCGGCCGACAGCCATGCATTTCTAGCCATAGGTGAAAACTATTTAACCAGTGCTTATAGCTTGTATACATAGCTTGTAAGAAAAATAGACCCTAAAGGTCTCGGGCTCATATATATATATATATATGTGGCAAAGACCTTTAGGGTTTATTTGGGGATAGTGTTTGCTTTGTAAGCAATGAGGCATTTGGTGATGATCACGTATCCAGCTGTCCAATTTGACTTCGTATATCTCTGGCATCCCTCCCACAGCATCAGGCGTGCTAGGGATGAGAGTGTTGTACGGGTTTCAGGTACGTCCTGAGATCCTGCGCTCCAGTTGAGGGTTCCTTTCTCGTATCGTCGCTTCCACTCTTTGGTCTTTCACATTGTTCTGTGATCGGTTCTTGTTGCATCGACATACTAGTTTGCAGTTGACCTATCTCGCATTGCAAACGTTTCCATTCCCAACATCATAGGCCCAGGAGTCTTAAGCCGAACTACTGAACTGCTTCCTCAGAATCGTATACGCCTGAACCTTGTCTATTGCAGCTACGATCTTCTTCAAAGTGCAGGGCGAGTCAAAGACCTAGGGCGCCGCGACCGTATAAACGCCACAAGCAAGCGGAGCTCTCTTCTTTCTCGATAACATACAGGGGCCCGTCTGTCTTTTTTGAGATGGAGCTGTATTCCATCACATTGGATTGGAGGAAGAGCTCGGCCTCTTCTTAGTCTTCTTGTCGAGGATGAGGTAAAGGGCTTCTATTGTTGGAAATTAGGAGAGCTCTGGCAGGCTCTTTTCCATCTTCTGCGGAGGAAAAGGAGATAGTCAGCAGTGCTGTTATTTCGACCTGCCAAGAGAGAAAGGAGGCCTCTTCTTGACGACTGAGGTGTAAACGGAGCCATCTTCTTTCTCAGGGTAAACGGAGCCCGATTCCCTATTTTGAGATGGGCGCTCGTCTGTCTCACTACATTGGAGGAAGCTAACTTCTTGTCGAGGAAGAAGCAGAGAACTTATACGCTGTTTCTGAAGACTGGTGGAGCTCTTTTCAGGTCTTCTTAAGGTTAAGATGAAGACTTGCCAAAGTTCTCTTCTTGTTCAGAGGATGAGGTAAAGGGCTTCGCATTTCTTTTGACTCCCGAAGGGAGGACCAGACTTCTCCTGTCAAGGTTTGAAGGGAGGGAAGAACTCCATCTTATCTTCTTGGTCGCGAACTCTCTTCCATGCTTTGAAAACTTGTGGGAGATGGTCCGGAGTTCTCGCCCCTGACTAAGAGAGAAAGGAGTCTTCTTCTTGTCGACAGAGAGGTAAACACACCTCTTTCCTTGCTCGATAAATTAGAGGGGCCCCTCTTCTGAGTTGTTGGGGTAGAAGACCTGTCGGGGGATCTCTTCCTGTACCGAAGGGTAAAGGAGCAGCCCTTTTCTGTCTTATGATTTGGAGGGAGCTTTCATCTTGTTTTTGATGATTAGGTAGAGAACTCAATAACTTGGAAGGGCCGGTCTATCTTATTTGGAGATGGAGCTCTCTTCTGTCTCATTGGATTGGATGAAGCTCTCAGTCTCCTCTTGTCGAGGATGAAATAGAGGGCTTTTCTGTTTGAAAGTTAGGGGAGCTCTCGTAGGTAGGTTTTTCCCATCTTCTGAAGAGGAAGAGAAGATTTTCGCTTAAAGGAAAAATTTGAATATTTGAAAATCTGGATTTTCAAATTTCTAAATTTTCAAAATGTTAAATTTTTGAAAAGCTCTGGCCTACCAAAAACCTAAGGTTTTCAAATTTTCAAAAAGTTCAAATTTTTCCTTTAAGCGAAAAATTGAAAAATTTGAAAGTTTGAAAATCTGGATTCTCAAATTTCAATTTTTTCAAAACTTTCTTAAGCGAAAATTTGAAAAATTTGAAAGTTTGAAAATCTGGATTTTCAAATTTCAATATTTTTCAATTTTTTCTAATAATTCAAATCTTGAAAAGTTCTGGCCTACCAAAAACCTAAGGTTTTCAAATTTTCAAAATGTTCAAATTTTTCCTTTAAGCGAACATTTGAAAAATTTGAAAGATTGAAAATCTGGATTTTCAAATTTCAATATTTTTCAATTTTTTCAAATAGTTCAAATGTTGAAAAGTCCTGGCCTACCAAAAACCTAAGGTTTTCAAATTTTCAAATTTTTCCTTTAAGCGCAAATTTGAAAAAATTGAAAGTTTGAAAATCTGGATTTTCAAATTTCAATATTTTTCAATTTTTTCAAATAGTTCAAATGTTGAAAAGTCCTGGCCTACCAAAAACCTAAGGTTTTCAAATTTTCAAAATTTTCAATTTTTTCCTTTAAGCGAAAATTTGAAAAACTTCAAATGACACTATTAATATAATAGTATGTATATATCTATATATTACATACATATATAGAAATGTAGGAAGAGACTATTCCCAAATAAACCCAAGAGGTCCTACATACATATATATATATATATATATACATACATACATACATACATACATACATACATACATACATAAATAGTTGTATATGTATCATATTCTCGATACAGAGACACATAGATGCAAACATATGTATACATATACGTCTACGTACACATATATACGTACATGTACACGTACAGTACAAATACCTACACACACAAACGGATACATATACATAATGACATATACTTATACAATACGTATACATATCTCTATGTGTAATGTACCTTTGCATGTACATGTACATGTACACGTACATGTATTTACATGTACGTACATACGCGCACATTCGTATAAATATATAGTTATACATACATATGTATATATATATATAGATATATATATATATATATATATATATCTATATTATATATCTGTACATATAGTGTGCATGCATACATACACACATACACGCTCTTGTGCCTCTTGTGTTTCGTTTGTGCTCATTCCGGGATGTCCACCAACCAAGCCCCTACCAAGCAACCAAGCAAGAATCTTCACCTACCGGGCTGCCCAGCAGCCTAGCTACGTAGCTACCTAGCGTAGTGACCTACCTGCCTACTTAGCCACCAACCGACCAAATTACGCGCACCTGCCGGTCCAACGACCGACCGACAGACAGACCCAATTATCAACCAACCCTGCCCACCCACCTACGCGCCGGCTTACAGTAATCATGCACAGAACTAATGCTTGGTTGGCTACCTCGCCCCGACAAGCCTCAAGCTGCTCCAGCGTCGCATCGACATCATCGCCGTTCTCCGGGCCTTATAGGTGCTGGATCCCAACCCTAAAACGCACCAAAAAATCCCCAGAGGCCCGAACTCCTCGGCATGCCGAGCACATACACACATACGTTTGTGTGTGTATATATATATATATGTATATGTATATGCCTGCGATCGCTAATCCGATAGAACCGAGGCAGTCTTGCCATACGTTGTCCCGTACGTTCATGTATTCTCGTGAATCCTCTTCCTCACTGCAAGCACGAGCTTAAGTGCATTTCCCATACCAAATGCCCGACCTGTAACAGTAGACCCTACCATTGTAAGATCGGCGGCGCTTGTCTCGAAGCCGCGGAATGCGCCGTGTATGATCGGAACTGCCTTGGCTGAGAGGGCAGAAAACTAATGCCCCCTCATAGTCCCTATATCGCTATACTATAAGATGTCCCAAAAACCCGATTCTAATTTTTTGAATCCCATCATCGCGCACCCCAGCTATGGCCCCTCGCCTCCTGGTTACCTCCGTAGACTTACTTGGCCCCTAGTATTTGCAGTATTGAGCAGACTGCTTCGAGACCCCTTCCGGTGCAATGAAGAACAAGGTTTGATGAATTGGGGTTGAACTCAGTGGGGTTTCGGTTTCTGAGATACTTGTCGTCTGGGATTTGATGCGACCTTCCTCCACCCAACAACAGGTCCGAGCACGCGCTTGCCTGAACTCGTCGAAGCTCAGCACTTTGCCGCCGAAAGGGGCCAGCACAGATCGCAGCGCCTCCAAGGTAGATGGGGAAGTGCAAGTTGGGTTTCGGCTTGCGGCCAGGTTTTAGCGCACGTGGAACTCAATAGGAAACATGAGGAGAGTGCAAGAGCTGATGCGCTTGCTACAAGTTACTAGATAGTCAGATAGTCATTGAGCCACTGCCACGTGATGTGCCTGCAAAGCTCACGAGAATATCCAGCCTATACCTGCTCCTCCAACTACTCAGTCTTCTGCTGCAATACTGCTGCTGCTACTATTCCTGCTGCTGCTGCTGCTGCTGCTGCTGCTGCTCGTTTCCTGCTACTCCGACTATTTCCTACTACTCTCACTGCTAAATTGCTCCTACTGCTCCTGCTGCTCCTGCTACTCTTACTCCTACTCCTCATCACACTCCTACTGCCACTGCTACTACGACGAGTGCCACCACCACTGCGATGACCACGACCAGCAGTACAAGCACCACCACTAGCGGGAACACCACTAGTAGTACTGCTGCAGGTACCATGGGACCAGCAGCAACACGATACCAGCATTACGATTTGTGCTGCAAATGCCGCTGCGACCAGGGTGACTACTTCCAAGCACTACGTTCCTGGAGCACCGTTAGCAGCACTAGTGCTACCGTGTTTAGTGGCGTAGCGATGTCAGCAGGACTCAACCATTACGAGTATCATCACTTCTGCACAGCAATACCATAGAAACAGGAGCTGGGCATAAGCACGACAAAGGGCGCAGTATAGCGCCACAGCTCATGTTATGCTTGCACTAGTAGTGGCAATCACTTGATTTGGCTTGCAATATTCCTACATATTCCTACCAAGACCCATCGTCGTGCTTCCCACACAGCAATGTGGGCTCCGAATGGAGTGCACGCAGGGATCCTGACATTAAGGCCCTGCACAAGGGTGTATATTCCCGAGTCGTGAGGGGTCGACGTCAAACCCTCCACCCGAAACTCACAACCAAACAACACAAGGCCCGACAACTCCAAAGATCAAATCCCCATAATCCTTTACTGTCCCAACTATATATGTAAACCCTGCAAGCATAACATATTCCCTCAGCCCCGCAATCCTAAATCCTAAACCTTATTGTCGCGAGTGCCTCCCAGCTCAGCCATAAGAGGTGCATATTTGCGAAAGCTAAAAACCGGGCTTCTACCTACGGGGTCCTACCGGGCTCAAAGCAGGACGCCCTTTTTCTTGAAGCCACAAAAGGGCTGCGGTGTCGCGCAGTGGTTCTGTACAAAAGCTAAGGGGTAGCCTAGCTCAAGCCCTTGGGTGTTGGGTTAAGGGATTCCTACAGGATTTCTCGCACCCCCCTCCAATGCCAAGGGGTTGGCGGTAGCACCCGCGCAGGCGGGTATCCCACCGCTCAGTCATCACGCCGGAAGTGATGCTGTCGGCAGTGGTGGCAGATAGGAAGCTGCCGGGCCCACCCGCGGATCTCTACACAATGCGGAAAAACGTGAGGTGTGTAGTCATCACCCACCACCAGGAAGTGGTCACGATCCTCGTGCCTCGTCCCTATGATAAGTCCACCCCAGCAGGTGAGGCAGAGCTGCTCGGCGATGACGCTGGCTCTTGGAACTGATGCCAGACCGACACAGTTCCGGTAGAGGTGCACTGTGCGTCGCGTCGGTGCATAGTACATCTCTCCGAAGTTGTGCTGCGGCACCGGCGGCAACCTTGCTCCGGGAGCAAGTCTTCTGCGCCTTTGGCGTGCCACGGGCAGCGCTTGAGGTGCCGCCGGCGGTGGCGGGGCTGCCGCAGCGGCGGCTGCACCCGCGTCCCCGTCGTGAGGTTCAGGCTCAGGTGCCGGAGGCCGGAGATCTCTCGGCGGAGCCGCCCGCGCTGATGCGCGGAAGAGGTCTTCAACTGCTACCGGTGGCGTTGCCACTTCTTCTGGGGCGTTTGCTCCCAGCGGTTCTTCAGGTAGCTCTTCCTCGGGCTCTTCGGTTGGCTCCGAGGGTTCCTCTTCTGGCTGCCGCCTTTGCGGTTGCCTCCTCTCGTGCAGCAGTCTGCTGCACCATCCGGTCACCCTTCTTACCACAAACCAAAGAAGGAACAACCAGGTAAGGATCCCTAGCAGCATGGTGGCTTGCAGGGTCCATTGGATGATCTCCTCCTCTCTTGGCTGTGCCCTCACTCCAAGGATCTGGTGTGCCACAGTGGCACTGACGATGCAGATGGAAGGCCTGAAAGGGAACACCGGCTTCCATTGACTCGGCGGGTTTTCCCGCACAAGCTTCACCGTGTGTCTCTCCGCAGCGGAGGCTCCCGCAACCAAGGTGGGATCCACCATGGCAAGGGATGGCAAAGCTTGCGCAACCTCGTTGCCGGTCTTGGCGTGCCTTCGTGAGGAAGTTCGCCGGGTTCTCTGTCCCTTTAACTTTGCGGAGAAGTGCCTTCCCCGCCTGCACGGCACCCTGCACGTAGAACTCGGACACGTCGAGGTGCCTCAGTTTCGTGCCAGGGCCTATTCGCTTTGCCGCCGTTATGCCCGTACTGCTATCGCTCCATATCCGGGGGATTTCCACATCCAACCCGAAGTCGAGCGTGGCAAGCTCGTGGACAAAGAGGGCTTCGCGGCACGCGCGGCTAGTGCCGCGTAGTTCGGCGTCTGGGCTGCTCGTTGCTGGCAGTCCCGGCTGTGTCTGGGTCGAGGTCGTGACGACGGCCCCACCAAGGACCACCACATGACAGTCTGTAGACCGTCGGGTCTCCACACAGCCGGCCCAGTCGCTGTCACAAAAGACGTCCAGCTGGAGAGTGCCGTCGTGCGCTCCAGGGTCCAAAGCGGTCACCCGCACTAAGGAAGGGTGCTGCTGCAGGTACCGGCCAAGCATCAGTGCTTGGTTCAGGTCGCAGCGCCTCGGCGTCGCCATGTGCCGGGCGAGCTCTTTGACCGCGTATTGGATATCACGCCGGTCGGCTGAGAGATAAATCCCAGAGCCAACGGCGGACCGGTACCACCCCGCTTCCAAAAGCGTGGTGTCGCTCAGGTCGGGCTTTCTGGAAGGTACTGGCGACTTGTCGCCAGGCCTGAGACCCAATGCCTTGATGATGTTCTCGGCGTGCTTCGGGTCAGGCGCCGTCAAGATGCATCCCGGTAGCCTTGTCTTCGTCTTTCCCAAGACTTCCACAGACACTCCCTCAGCTTCGAGAGGTCCTGTGGTGATTTCGCAAAAGGCCGGGATGTCAACGTCCAGCAGCCGGTCAAGGTCGGCGGCGTCTCCCGCGCATCTACCGTCGTCGATATGGTGCACTACGACTATGCCTGTTTTCTGGCATCGGTAGACGCAGGGATCCTTCACGCCTCGAACGAACTGGTATCGCCCCTTGAGCTTCTTACAAAGGAGCTCCTCCAGCTCGTCTCGGTACACCGAGCCTGCCGTTCTCCTTCCATACAGATTGCCATCCAGGCGGAAGAGCATCTGGTCGAAGCTGTTCCACAGGTGGGGCTGCCGATCAGGCGGTTGCTCCCGCACCCATTCTTCCCAGATGGGTCTCAACTCCGGAGGGGGTCGCACGTAGACCCACTTTTCCTCCTGTGCCCCTCTGTCTTGCCCGATCAGGAACGCGGCGACTATGTCGAAGGAGCGCGTCGCGCATCCTTTCTGCAGCGCCGTGATCTCGAGCAGAGCGTGGGCTTCGGGAGTCGGCGTTGGAACAAAGACTCGGAGGTCCTGTTCTTGCTCTTGCGAATAGTTCCTCTTGATATCCGCGCAGGTGAATCGGGACTTCACCGCGCCTTCCTTCACTTTGTCTACCCACTTGTAGTGTGCCTCAGTGGGCTTGTCCTTCTTGAGGATCGGCGTGAAAGCGCCCAAGCGCCACAGCTTCTGGAGTTGCGCTAGCCTGGCCTCCTGCACCAAGGCCGGGCCCGGGCTTGCGTCCAGCATCTCCATCACCGAAGCCAGGCGCTGCTGGTACACAGCGGGGTCATCCGCATTTGCCCAGTGCTCGATCTTTTCCCATAGGTTCTGGGCCTCCGCCTTTAGGCGGTCGATGCGCTGAGCTTTCCTTGCGGCTCCTTTGGGCTGCTTGGGAGGCCTGGCACCCTCAGTGCTCGTAGGTCCTTCCCTCTTGGCACTTCCTTGCCCCAGCCCCCCTTCACCCAGGCCTGTGGGGTAAGGTGCTCTCGGTGGAGCAGAGGGGGCTGCCGCCGAACTGGCGGCAGAACCCGCACCTACGGATGTCGCGGCCTGCATCCGTTGGTCTCGCGTGCTCCGAGGCTAGGTCGCCGATTCCTCCACCTCCGGGGAAGACTTTCGTTGTCGTCCATGGTGTTCAGGTCTTCCAGGATCGCTGCCGCTTCCACGTCCAGGGCTTCCGTGTCCACGCGTCGGGGTTCTCCCTCGTGCGCCATGGAAGGCAGCTGTGGCTCCCCCTCCTGCTCTCTGTAGTCTTCGGGCGCCTCTTGGGCTGCTCCTTCGAGCGGAGGGGCTGGTAGAACCACAGGCTGCGCCAGGGCACACCAGCAACTGTGCCCATCAGCGTGCGGTTGGCTTGGCCTTCTGGAGGGAGGCGGCGGACCGACCTTACAGCCAGAGCCCCGCTCTCAGTGAGAACAACATGAGAGTTGTCCCTCTCCAGCTTTCCAACCCAGAGGCCTCGCACCCAGCGTCTCTGGGCCTTCGTTCCGGGTTTAGGAAGTTTCGCCATGACGGTTTCCCCGAAGCGGCATATCGTGGAAAGGTACTCGACCCCGTTCACGATCTTGTATGCCGTCATCTTGTCCGTGGTTCGGACCTGAAACCTGGCGGCGGACCACGCCGCGTACTTCACTAGCCATGGGAACACCGTGTGGTTGACATCCACCCCGCAGTTGGGGTAGCGGTTCTGCAGGTCCATCAGCCAGGTCCTGACCAGGCCTGCGAGCATGGAGTGCTCACCTTCCACCGCTCCCTGCGACTGGTGGCTGTAAGGCGGCGCCTCCCGCACCTTCACCTTTTGCGTGCCCATCCTCGTTCGGATGGCGTGGGCCACGCTTCTCAGGGAGCCCTCTGCATCGATCTGCAGGGTCACCCGCGAATGCCCCAAGGTGTTAAGGTACTGCTCCACGTGTCCAGCACGAAGTTTCCGCACTCGGCGCCTTTCTTGGGCACCTGGACGCTGCAGGGCCACCCTGTGTCCCGGTCGACCAGGGTGAGCACCGTCACCAGAGTGGACTCATCGTCGGGGGCCTGTCGCTGCTAGGCGCCCCGAGAGTAAAAGGTGTAGTCCATCTGCACCACGGCTTCCAGGCCGCGTTCTCCGGTGTCCGCTTTCCTGCGGTGTTGCCCGCCATGCCCTGCACCCTGCACGCACTCAGGGCACCAAGACGCGAAAGGCAGGTGCGTCAAGCGATGCCGTTCCCGCTCTTCTGGAATCGGGTCGACCGGCATGCTCTCAGTGCGGGGTTCCGGGTCAGGCGGCGGATCGCCTTCCTCGATGTTTCCACCGGGGTTGGCCTGGAGCTCCTCTCGCTCTCTTTCGGCGGCGAGCTCCGCACGGGCGAAGTCGGCAACGGCCTGTGCCTCCGGGTCGTCCGGATAGTTCTCTTCGTCCCCTACGGTGGCGATGCGTGCTTTCTTGCGGTTTCTCCCGCCACACGTACAGGGCATCAAGAACTGATTGCCGCTGCGGAGAAAGTCCGCCCGCGAGCCGTCCTGCCATTCTATGTAAGAACCGGCGGCGTCAAACACAACGCGGGCCCCGGAGTCAACGGCGCGGCTCACTGACAAAATGTCATCTGTGATACCGCCCACCACTTGGAAGGTGGTCTTCGCCTCCTGGCGGTGGTGCCCGCCCAGTCGCAAGACTGGTTCCACCGTGCCTCGGGTGTCCAGGGGCGTGTCGTCGACACTGAAAAGGTTTTGCCGGGCCGCGGCGTTGACTGGGCACTCAAAGGTGTCCGGGCGACACACCGACACAGTCGCGCCGGTGTCCACAAGAAGATACCCTCGGCGTTCCTCCGAGATGGCTAGGATCCGCATCTTCTGGTCGGAGATGTGTCTCACCCCCGGCTTTGCCGTGGTGGCGGTGCTTCCCGCGACCGACGCGGAGGGCCCCGCAGAAAGCTGGGAAGCCGTCTCGTCGGAGACGGCGTGAACCCCACCTTTCTGGGCTCCTTTTCCTTTGCCTTTGGAGTTGTACCAGCACTCTTTCACGGTGTGGCCGGTACGCCAGCAGATCGGGCATCTCTCCTTCTCCTTTTCTTTTTCCTTGTGGGTGTCCTTGCCCTTCCTTTTCCTTCTTTCCCTTTGTCCTTTCCCTTGCCGCCTTTGCCTTTGTCTTTGCCCTTGTGGTCGCCCACCTTCCCGATCTCCATTGCATCGGGATCGTGGTGGCGTTGGCGACCTGTGGGCTGGGCATAGGCACCGGAAGGCATCCATACCCTCTTGGCTTGCAAGTAGGACACCACGAGGTTGCGAACATCCTCGTAGCGGGTGAGTTTCCCAGCCGTCATCGCCAAGTGCTGCTTGAGCGCACTCGGCGACTCCACCATGAGGAGCGCCCGCTTATCCTCCTCAGAGATGGCCTTGTCCGCGCCAAACTCTGCCTTGTATTTTGCGAGGTTGCTCTCCCATTCCTGGAGCGCGGCTGAGAACTCAGCCTCCTTGTTGGGAAACTTGGGGCTGAGAAGCGCTCTGCGCCAGATCAGTCCCCGGTTCGCCTGCTCAGGATGAAACTCTCTCCAGAGCTGCTTCCACAAACGGAAGCCATCCGCAGCCATCCTGGCGGCGGATCCCGCGCGCGATCTTGAATGCTGGAGGGCACTCACTCACCAAGTTCACTAGCATCCCGAAAAGCTTGACGCTGAGGAGACGGTACTCCTCCGACTCTGCGACCTCGGCGCCTTCTTCGTCGTCGCCTGTGTCGCGTCGTGCTTCCTCGAGGTGGTCGGGGAAGCTGGGGTCGACTAGTGAGGCATACGTCTCGAGCTGCCACACGAATCGCTCCCAGTCGTCTTGGCTTTTAAGGGGCTTGGGGGGCTTAATCGCTTGTTTTAGCAAGTCTACCCCTTTGAGCTGCGCGGTGAAACCTACCTGTACAGGTGAAACAGAGCCACCTACCGCTACCGCTGGAGCCGCCGCGCTGCTGGCGGCGGGGCCTCCCGCGGGAACAGCGGTGCCTCCCGCTTGCTGCATTTGCAGCAGCTGTGCCTCAAGCCGCTGGGTCCTTTCTTGGGAAACCCCCAGCGCTTGCTGCATCTCTCGGTGAGACGCTTCCGCCCGCTGACTTAAGGGCGGCTGTCAGCTCAGCGAGCTGGCGCCCCACGGCCGCTCCCGTCAAGGGGCCCCTGGCTTGACTCTGTTGAGCTGCCATCGTCTTCTTCTTGTGGCTCCCTTAGGCTCTCCATGGTCGAGCTTCCGACGGATTCGGCGGTGCTACCCGCTAAGGCGGGTCCGCCCGCACCCAGCGAAGGCTCGCCGGTGGCAGCGGCGGCTTCCGTCTGCGGGGCTGGTCGGGACCAGTGCCTCCTCGAGGGGCTCTTCTTCCTCCAGAAGGTCCCGAACGAACACCCACGGCTCTGCGGGTGCTTCGGTGGCTGGCGGCTCTTTCGGCTCGCCCTGCTCTGGCGGCTTCTCTGGCTCGCCTTCCTTTGGCGGCTCCTCTGGCTCGCCTTTGGCTGGCGGCTGCTCTGGCTCGCCCTCGCTGCCTCCAAAGTCCGGGCTGGACTCGGAGGAAGAGGTCTCCGCCGCTACCGGCGGGACTGGCGCTTGCTGCGCCTCTTCTTCTTCCTCCTTTGCCTCTTCGGGCAAAGGGGAGGCCTGTGGCACGGCCTTCGGCTCCGGTGCTGGCGGCACCGGCGGGGTCAACCGCACACCCTTTTTTTTCGGGTCTCGGGCCGGACTCTCCACCACCGGCTTGGGCGTGTGTGGTCCCTCTGGTTTGCCTTCGCTTTCGGAAGACTCCAGGCGCACCGCTCGGATGCGCTCGGCCTGCCTGTTGGCTGCCGACGACTGCGGGACCCGGCGGTTCCGGGGTGTCCTCGCTGCTGCTGCTGCTGCTGCTGCTCGACGACTCTTCGTCGCCAGCAGCGGTGCCCCCCGCTTCGGTGGGAGCTAGTGGTGGTACCGGCGCCTCCTGCAGGACTACCGGGACCGGCCTTTCAGTGTCCACGCTCTCCTCTGTAGAGGGGCTCTGGGGAGGCGTTCGTGGGTCCGGTATCTGCGGCGGAGTCACCGGCGGTTCCACCCGCTTGGTGTAAGGATTTTCCAGGCGGCGTTTCTGTCCCCTGGCTATTCTCTCCTCTTGTTTGGCGATGGATCTTACCCCTCTGGTATTTTTCTTTTTCCACTCGCCGTCCTTAAAGTGGTATTCCACTTTTCTCTCCCACCACGGTTTGCCCTTCCGTTGGCTGGGAGCTGGATCCCGGCTGCCACTTGCCGGTTCCGCTGGAGAGCGGGATCTCTCGGATCCGCGGTGCTCCCCGCTGGCTGCGCTCGCGTTGCGGCGGTGCCAGTCTTCTAGGCCGTTCCACCCTTGCCACGGGTCTTCGGCTTCGTCCTGCTGCCAGGACTGGTGTTGCCAGCTCCAGTGCTGGTCTTGCTCGGTGGGGTCGCTGCGATCCTCCCACCAGTCGTCCCGAGACCAGTCGCGGTCTCGATTCCAACCTCCCTGGTCGTCCCACCAATCGGCCGTGGTGGGCAGGAAGGGCGGTAACTCCCGCGCAAATTGCGGAAGAAACCTAAAAGGTGAGGCGCCACACCAAACGGGTGCGACCCCTGTCCCCGGTTTGTAGGCCCGGGTGCCTAGAAGAAAGTCCTCGCTCTTCGGCGGGACTTCCCGCGCTAAGCCTCCAGCCTAGCGCTTGGGATCCCGGGTTTTAAGGTCCCCGGTGACCTCTTGATGTCCCCCTTTCTTGGGCGGGGCGACCCGCTGCCAACCACGAGCCCCCGACGAAGGGGTGGCCCGCGGGGCAGCCCGCAGTCCGGAGTTGCTGGCCCCTTTGCTCAGCAGAGCTCCGCTACCATGCGAAAGCTAAAAACCGGGCTTCTACCTACGGGGTCCTACCGGGCTCAAAGCAGGACGCCCTTTGTCTTGAAGCCACAAAAGGGCTGCGGTGTCGCGCAGTGGTTCTGTACAAAAGCTAAGGGGTAGCCTAGCTCAAGCCCTTGGGTGTTGGGTTAAGGGATTCCTACAGGATTTCTCGCAATATTGCACCATAATGCTTCATGGGGCTACAAAGGGGCTATTGTTGCTAAATAGATCACTAGATATGCGTGTAGTATATGTATATATACACATGTATATACATATATCATATATACATAGGTTAGAATCCCTGCAGTCTCTGTCTTCATCGGGCTCGGGTGGGATCCTGTCCGAAATGTCCACCAGGGGTCCGCTCTCACATACTGTTCTTTGTCGCTGGCCTTCGCTTCGGAGGGTGCTGAGGCTTCACCTGCAGTGACGGTTTAGAGTTTAGGGTTTGGGCTTCTTCCAGCCAACCGCCGCAAAGCAGTCTGCGTGCTTCTTCTACCCAACCACTGCAACTCAGACTGCCTGCGCGGGCAGCTATGGGCAGTGCTGCTCGTTCAAATGGTGTTGGCGCCTCTCATATCTACACGTCAGAGACTGTAACACAGCTGTGAGTGTGCTAAGCTGCCTCAACATCGTAAATGTCTTAAGATGAGCAGTCACCGACAAGGCCCGAGCACAATCTGCAGGTGCAAGGTTGAGGGAGAATTGTTTCTTAGGTTTTGTAAGCCAATGCCGATGTCAAACCCTCCAGCCCCGAAAATTCAAGCCCGCATCCCGATGGTAAACTTTCGCCACTATCCAGCGCCCTAATCCTTCAACAAACTCCACCGAGACCTGGAAATTCGACCTTATCGTTTCGTTGCCAGTGATGCCTTTTAGCCGCAGCCGTGAAAAAGAAAATGTCGTCAGTGAACACACTTCGTACGCCCTCTGTGCATGCACTTTATCACCCCCCACCCCCCCCCCCCCCACCTGGCGCTGGAGCTGTGCCGAAAGGCAGCAAGGCAAATGGCAATCGCGGAGGCGCTTCGCTGCGAGCCGCCATACCTTGAAATGGGTACCCTCTGCTGGGACCTTCTCCTGGTGCCTTGAAGCCGAATCGCACGAGACATGAGTCAAGTGCCTTGGTGAATCTCTCTCAGAAGGTTTCGAATAATTACCGTTTGTATGCGCTTGCAAAACCCGAATATTCCGGATTCCCCAGCGTGCAACTTGCAACATAACCGCATCGCAACTCTAAGCCGCGCTTGCGAGGCCTTGGATTTGGCAGCCGTCGGAGGCCCACTGAGCGTGGCTTCACCTGCCAAGTCAGGGGCGATTGCTCCTGGTTGGCCCTGTCATGCAACGTGGACAGCCTCCGGGAACACAAGACTGCAACCTCTTCTCTAAATGAGCCCTATGTACTGTTTCCAGCAGGCTTTGCTTGGGCAAAACCAGCAAAGCAGACAGCCTGCGCTGGCAGCTGTGGGCAGTGCCGGCCGTTCCCCTGATGTTGGCGCCTCCCACAAGCTATGAGGCCGAGATGGGACAACGCAGCGCTGGTGACAAACAGCTCGAGCATCGTAAGTGTCTCAGGACTAAGACGGTAACCCTCCCAAGAGCAGTTACTGAAAGGTCCGTGCGGCCCAGCAGGCAGATTTAGCCAGAAGCCGATGATAGCCCATGCCAGACCCTCAGACACTCAAAACCCAAGCCTATATCCCGATGCTGAACGTTCACGACTAAGCACCCACTCCCGCACTCTAGTTCCTCAAATTCCCCGACAACCTGTAACCTCCACATCATCGTGTCGTTGCCAATGATGCCTTGAAGCCGAATGCATGGTTTCAACTGCTGCGCGTACGGCCATGCACGAGACATGAGTTAAGTGCTCCGGTGACTCTCTCTCATAAGGTTTAGGACAATTACTGTTTGCATGTACCGCTGTTGTGCATGTGTGCGGTTCTGTGGGTTGTGTCTTTCCCGCTCGGAAAGCATTACAACTTACAACATTACACAAACCAACCACGGAAGAGCTCCAAATCGATCTCGTGAACTCAGCTTGCAAAACACGAATATTCCTCAGTGAGCAACTTGCGAACTAACAAAGCCGCGATTGCGAGGCCTTGGATTTCGCAGCCGTCGGGGGCGCTTTGAGTTCGCCTGGTGTTGGCACCTCCCATAAGGTATGAGGCCGAGATGGGACAACGCAGCGCTGGTGACAAACAGCTCGAGCATCGTAAGTGTCTCAGGACTAAGACGGTAACCCTCCCAAGAGCATTTACTGAAAGGTCCGTGCAGCCTAGCAAGCAGGTTTAGCCTTAGCTGATAGCCCATGCCAGACCCTCAGACACTCAAAACCCAAGCCTATATCCCGATGCTGAACGTTCACGACTAAGCACCCACTCCCGCACTCTAGTTCCTCAAATTCCCCGACAACCTGTAACCTCCACATCATCGTGTCGTTGCCAATGATGCCTTGAAGCCGAATGCATGGTTTCAACTGCTGCGCGTACGGCCATGCACGAGACATGAGTTAAGTGCTCCGGTGACTCTCTCTCATAAGGTTTAGGACAATTACTGTTTGCATGTACCGTTGTTGTGCATGTGTGCGGTTCTGTGGGTTGTGTCTTTCCCGCTCGGAAAGCATTACAACTTACAACATTACACAAACCAACCACGGAAGAGCTCCAAATCGATCTCGTGAACTCAGCTTGCAAAACACGAATATTCCTCAGTGAGCAACTTGCGAACTAACAAAGCCGCGCTTGCGAGGCCTTGGATTTCGCAGCCGTCGGGGGCGCTTTGAGTTCGCCTGGTGTTGGCACCTCCCATAAGGTATGAGGCCGAGATGGGACAACGCAGCGCTGGTGACAAACAGCTCGAGCATCGTAAGTGTCTCAAGACTAAGACGGTAACCCTCCCAAGAGCATTTACTGAAAGGTCCGTGCAGCCTAGCAAGCAGGTTTAGCCTTAGCTGATAGCCCATGCCAGACCCTCAGACACTCAAAACCCAAGCCTATATCCCGATGCTGAACGTTCACGACTGAGCACCCACTCCCGCACTCCAGTTCTTCAAATTCCCCGACAACTTGTAACCTCCACATCATCGTGTCTTTGCCAATGATGCGTTGAAGCCGATGGTTTCAACTGCTGCGCGTACGGCCATGCACGAGACATGAATCAAGTGCTTTGGTGAATCTCTTTCATAAGGTTGAGGACAACTGCTGTTTGTATGTGCTTGCAAAACCCGAATATTGTCCCAGTGTGCAACTTGCAACATAACCGCATCACAACTCTAAGCCACGCTTGCGAGGCCTTGGATTTGGCAGAGGTCGGTTTTATAGTTGTTGTAAGCCACCACACACGCACTGAATTGTATATACCCGTCCAAGTGTTAACAAGCAGCGTAATACCATTAGGCAGCTACGCACTTTTCCTGTTAGAGCACTTGTGCCACAATGTCACCACACAACATGCTACTTCACACGTGCACAAATTACACCCCCCTCGCCGAAGCGTCAGTCTGAGGCGCAAACATGCACGGAAGCTTGGTGCTGTGCGGCCTGCCGTAAAGGCGGCTGGATTGTGGCTCGGGGCTCATAGGCTTTCTACTACCGTAAAGCGGAAGATACGGAAGTAGTCAAATTCTTTTAGCGCGCGGTTTAAAGTCGCGACATGCATTATAAAGTGGCGACGATCCAGCAAGCCTTGAATGATGGCGTGGATACGAATCGCAAGAAGATTTTGCAGCGTGGGACGAATACATCATCCACTGGAGCTGCTGGCAAATCGGATTTGTCACAAGGTGACTGCCAGGAAGTGAAGCATAGGATTTTCTGGTCTTCAGGAAATTCGGCCACCTCTAAGAGGGGCTGTATTTCGGAGTACCGGTTAACGTGGCGGAACCACGAAATGTTGAGCAGGTACTTAGTACCATCCTCGGGAACCTGAGGAGCGACCGTAGGGATGGGAGCCACGCTGGTAGCCCTGGTCCCAATCCTGTTGGTAGCGTTGCTGCTCCGCTCTGCGTGCATCCGCCTTTGCCTGGGCAGCACGAGATCGCTCGGCGTTCCGCTGACGTTCTTCATGTGCCCGGCGGGCGACTCCGACCTGAGTAGCAAACTTCCCGCGAAGCCAATCGATCCACTCGTCTGCTGAGTAGCCGAGTCGTGGGTCGATGTAGAACGCTTCTTCGGAGAAGGTGACAATCATTCGCACAATCTGTGCTGCAGGAACACGTCTACGAACCTACGTAAACTATATGCCCCGCCCAGCCACATGATGCAAAATGGATCATCACTCACTGCGGAGATCAGGCCTGCCCTTAGGGCGGCTGGATTGCACTCATGCAAGTAGAGCAGCCGGGCAATCTCCTGGTTCCGAGGCCCATCAGCTGACCCGCCGAACGTGCCGATTGCGAGCTGTCGCTGCTCCTTCGATCGGCCGTGATTTGGCAGGGCAGCATGGGTCAGCACGTCTTCCACTGCGAGGAACTCCCGGTCATAGCCGTTACCGATGCTTGTCATCGTGTAATCGACATCGTTATCGAACTGGTTGACGATGCTAGAGTAGCCTCCTTTGATCGCCATTTTCAGCTGCTGGCGGGCTTTGTCGAGCGCCTCTGCGTCTAAGGAGGTTGCACCACGCTTTGTTGTGTCGTCCCTCGTCATCTCCCCGATGACCTCCTCGGGGGTGAGCTGGGACCGTGGCTTGCCTGCAGACGCAGCCGCCGCTTCTTCGGCGAACCAGCGAGCTGTCCTCACTCGCTTGCGTGCTAGCTGCTGAGACGGTTTTACAATGTGAACGCCGCAGGCCAAGCATATCATCTGGCCGACGAGATGCTGTGCACCGCAATGCGGGCATGCCCTGTGGCGGCCTCCCGTAACGGGGGCTGGAGGAAGTGCCAACGGAGTAGATTCGGGCTGTGGCGGTGCCTGCTCGAACATCGGCTCAACCTTTGGCTCTTCTTCCTCCTTTTTCACATTGCCTTCGTCTGCTTCCATTTCGATCTCGACCTCGACTGGTTCCTCAGGCTCAAGGAAACGCACTCGCTTAATTTCTGGACTCAGTAGGAGCTTCTGGAGGAGATGAGCCCCCCTGATCCAGAGTCGCGGTTTCCTCAGGAAGAATGTCGGAGGCCGTGGCGTCATGGATTGCAAGAGGTGCTGCTGCTGATGATGATGGCGCAGCCTCGACCTCAACTTCGACATCAATCATTGGCTCGTCTGCCTGGGCAGACTGGCTCGTTGCTTCTTCAAGGCCTCCACTAAGTGGGGCTGAAGGCTCCTCCGGTACATCGGGGAACTGCTCCTGAATCGTTGCTCCCGGGTCAATCATAGGCTGCGGGGCAGTTTCAGGGATGATGATGTCTTCCTCTTCTTCGCTGGTTTGGCGAGACCACATAATGACGCCTTTAGCAGTGTCGCGCACATACAGAATGCATGAGCTCGGCACCACATCGCGGGTCAAGATGCCTTCGGAAGTCGTCTCGAAGAGGTACGCATGGCGGTTGACCTCCTGGGTGTCGAGAACGATTTCATACGGCAGATTTGCCCTGCTGCCAGCCCTATTCTCAAGCTCGCTGAGGGTCGACTGGCGAAATAGTTGTGATACTTGCCGCTCCTGCCGTACCCTGGCGTAAAGCCTGATTTGAGAATACTGAAGGCAGCATCATGCGTCGTTCTGTGGTAGAGACGCGGTGGGAATTCACCCAAAGCTAGGAATGGCCTGCCTTCATAGGCGGCTGTAGGACCCAGCTCTTCCTGCGTGTCATTTGTGAACCAATGCAGCGCGATAGAGGCGTCGGTGACCTGGTCCTTGGTGCGTTCGCTGTGGCCGTGCGACGCACAAATCCAAGATGGCCAGATGTCAGTCTCGACGTACTCAGCACGTGGATCCGTGGGGAGGCCCGCCAAGTTCAGTCTTGACTTGTTGTCGTGTGCCACTAACGACAAGATGCCTCGGGTTCCCAGGTCCACCCTGTGCTTCTTCCAAATGTGTTGGATGAGGTCCTGAATACGGACCCATTTGCCGCGCCGTGACTTGAGCTTCACGTTCGACCCCCGAACTGCGCCTGTCAGGCACCGCTCCAGATAGGGCTGGAGAGTCAACTCCGGCAGGTAGTCCTTCGGGATCGAATCAGGGAGGATCTGGACGATCTCGCTCCCCTCAGGATCCTCTGGGCACACATCCTCGTCGACGAACCCGCACATCTCCATGAGATCCAGGTCGTCTTGGTACTTCAACCCGATGTAATCATGCTGGCGTGCTTTCATGAAGCCGCTGGAGGGATCCCGGTCCTTCTTGGTCATGCCCTCTTTTGCCGCAGACAGAGTCCGATGGGCCTCAGTGCGATCGGGGATGGCCTCGATGACATCGTCAAAGGATACCTCCGGTACATCGCGAGATGATGTGCTTCCAGAAAGGCCACCACTAAGTGGGGCTGAATCCTTCCGCTCTGCACGGGCGCGTGCTTCTGCTTGCTCCTTTGCGTGCTTCTGTGCCTGTTCACGAGCAGCGGCCCACTCCCAATTCATGATGTCCTTGGGTACCTCGCGCATTCCTGTAACAGGAAGGTCAGGCGGAGGAACATAAGGAGACTCCCATGGGTCAGGGCACTCGTTTGCTGCCTCGCGAATCTCGGCCTGCCTTAAAAGGCGGCGGGAGAGCTGTGACCTGAACAGTGCCTTGTCAAAGACATACTGCATGGAGTAAACCCGGGTACCATCTGGATCAAATGGATACTTCCGGGCCAGCTCTTCCAGCGTCTCCGTGGGCATCTTTGCGAAGAGATGGTCTGCTTGGCAAACCTTTATCCTCTGCCCGATCACGGAGGCTAAGGCGGCACGATGAGTCGAGTCTTCACGGAAGTGATAGTGATCGTGCTTCGGAATCTGACTGATCGACTCGCGGAGCGAGGCTGTGTACAAGCCTCTGCTCCTCGCGTAACCGAGGAACTTCCGTATCGCTGTGCGATACTCCTGGGGCAGCCCATAATCCAGCGGATCTGCATCAGAAAGAATCTGGATCGAACCCACTGTTGGCCTGCCCTGGACGTCCAATCTCGCCGCAAACTCGTGCGGCTATGTCCGCCCAGATCCCTTCGGCTGCCACGCCTTCTGGCCCAACCTGCCAGTGCGGCGTTCCTGGGTCGACGAAAACCCCGCGACGTCC